CCTGTAAATCCTGGTTAGCAGATTCCAGAGAGAGAATCTTTTTCTGTAAACCTTCATTGCTATCTTTGAAAGCCTGTAAATCCTGGTTAGCAGATTCCAGAGAGAAAATCTTTTTTCTGTAACCCTGCATTGCTAGCTTTTAAAGCCTGTATCAGTCCCAATAATGACTCATCTTTGTTCTTAAACCAGTGTTTGAACACTGTGTGAATTATTATGGTGAATGCCAAAATGGTATAGCCCAGATATGCCTTAGGAATGTCATATATTTCCAGGAAGATGTCATTCATCATACAAGCAAAAAGGTTTTTAAATTCTTGTGAGGTAGTGTTGTCGGCCATATTACACGAATTACTCAAAATTTGTTAGTCAATTTTAAGGTGTAAAATTATCAAGTACCTTTACTTGAAACAATATGCTTACCTTTCATGGGTTTTGGGGCGTGTATTAGCACTTTTCAGCCAGCAGGTGGCATTGGTACAGCTCCAAAACAGGGTCTGCTAGCGATCTTGGCTGGAGTCGGAGATGGCAGAAATGGCGGACATGGCGGAAATCAGAGCTAGCACACCCCTGCCTCTTTCGCTGGTCTGGGGCTAAGCTAGGGAATTGAGTTCGAACTAGCTGCTCCCTTTTTCGGGAATGGAACTGTGTAGGTGTTTCCTGGTTATATGGAACTTTGCAGGCGGGTTTAGGTACGTGCCAGCTAGGGAGGAGAGGGCTGGAGCAGCCCAGGGATTTGGAGTTTGCCCCAATTGAGCGCCGGATATTGGAGAAATTATTTTGGCCATTCCACGTAGTTAAAAGGGTATTTATTTAATGGCATAACACACAAATTAAGTGAAAGGTAGGTCTCAGGGTGTGGGGAAGGTGTATCACAATCCAGCGGTGTTCTCCGGAGCTCTGCACAGTCCACCTTCACAGTCCAGCATTCCAGATCCAAGCTGGAATGGCTACCCACTACATCTCCCAGCTGCTCTGTGTGTCCTGAGTTGTCAGTGAGGATTCTTGTTGAGTTTGGTGACCATGTTCTGCCCTTATATGTCTTCTCCATCAATAGTTATATGGTTAGTGACCTGTCAAGATATTTGGGGAAACTATAAATGACTGGGGTGATTGTGAACTATGGCAATTTTCTCCTGACTTGTAAAACCACAGGCTTGTGGACTCTGGAGCCAAGATGAATTCTGAGTCTGTAGTTGTGAATAAGCCTGAAGAGGCTATCTCCTTGGTTACTGGGAGCTTGTGTTATGAGGACAGGGAGAACCAGATAGCTGAGATAACCATTTCCCTTCAAATAGAGGAGAGTGCTGAATTCCACAACGGGGGCATCTGAAGCATGGAACAAATTAATTTGGGATGTCACTGAGTCATTGGTAAACAAGCTTTCTCAAACATTTGATTAGGACTCAGGGTGGTCTTTCTATCCTCTTTGCCTCGTCATACTGCAAGTTAATTTGTGTTCATCTACCCACAAGGAGCACCAAGGAGCTACTTTCCCACCAAACCCTCCTCACCAAGATGCAGTTGAAGCAGAAGGTGCAGAAAATGACCAGTCAGCTACAGCAAATGACCATTGAAAGAAATTAGCAGTGAGATTACCTTATCTTTATCACAGAAGAGATCATGAAGAATAGGTATTCATTCTTTCAAGCCCTGTGGTTTCAATGTTAGGTCCACTCTGTCATCATTAATTCATTTTATACAAGGTTTGTGTTTCTGGT